TGTAAATTTGAATTCTCTTATAAACTTCGCTGCTTGACCTTACAAAATCGTAAGAATTACTCGCATATACGCTAAAAACAGACTTCTTTGGTGTCTTGATTCCAAGCGACAGATGTGGAAGCAAGAAGAACGGCATTTTATTAAATTTTGGAAGTTGATTTCGCTCAACAACATCTAACACCCAAGGTGGGACAAAGTCCGAAAGCATTTGTGATTCAGTCTCATGTGCAGCATCCCGTATCATCAGCCGAAATATTGGTCGGCCAGTTGATTCACTGAAATGAAATTAATAGGTTTTTTAAAACCATCACCAATCAATCTACTTTGTTAAATCGAGAGATATTTTCCGATATTACTGCTACCAAAGATGATATTATAGCACTTTTACAAACATAATATCTATTATATTAAAATATTCTTGCAAATGCAGAAATTCGATTAAACATAAAAAATTTGAGTTCTAATTACTCAAGGTGTGGGATGAATTGGTGTTATAAAAATGACAAAATTTTCGATCAAGCTATCTATTTCAAACATAAAAAATTTGAAATTGCATAAATTTAGTAGTTTCATTCTTCTGCTTATCCTTTTATCTGCTATCAGTATAAACATTTTAAGTATATACCATAAAATAAGTGGGGTATGACCAGGTACGGAATTAAATCGATGAGTTGGAGATTCCTCATCAACATCAGAAAAAGAACGTGACCAGTGTTCAAATAGAGCCCTGAGTAACATACCACCATAGTTAACTATAATATAAGTTAAAGTAGAAAAAAAATCTCATTTCGATCACCATTAAACCTAAAATTAGACTTTTTATTTCAACAAATTGTAATAAGGAAATACAAAAAACCTACTTTTAGTATCATTTTGAATATTTGGAAATCCGGCGTCTTTTGCCGAAACCCAGGCAGAAAAGAAGTCAGATTCATCCAGTGTAATTTGTAGCATCTAAAGAGAAAAAAGTATTATTGTCCACTATATTGAAGAAAAACATCCCATTATACCAGTGGTGGAAGTTTTCGCACTGAAATGTAAGTAAATTTGGACCAAACTAGTCAACTGTGGTGGTCCAGAAAGGAATCATCAAATGACAGTTATGAAGTGATGAAGTATCACTTTAATAACAAAGCTGCGGAGATGACTGAGCGCTTTCATGTTTCAAAAAACCTCATTAATAACTTACGCCGCTCTTCAGATCAACTGTGAACCATGAAGGTACAAATACTTTTTTGAAGTGATCCTTGATCACTTCTTCCATCGGTCTTTTTCCATGATCACATACCTTTAAAAAGGAATTAACTTACGTTTCATCATATTTGATAATTACGTTGGAAATACGTAAAAGTTCGAAAATTTTCAGTTCATATTAGAAATCACTGTTTCGAATATTTTTGAAATAGAGGAGCATGAAACATGGAGAAATTCTTAGAATAATTGTAAAATCTTAAACCTTTCTTCCTTTTAAAACATCCCACATTGCCACATTGTCATCGGTATCTTTTGTGACGATATGTCTTTTGTCATTTAAAACAACATGCTGCCTGATACTTGCAGCACCTAAAGAATAAAAAAAACTGAATGAAGTTACCAAAAAGCATGCAACAATGAGTTTCTTCATTAGAAACATATTTTTGATACTACATTTGATCCACCCTTCTAACCTGGAATGGTCAGGTCTGGTTCATGAATGGATGGAATCGTTTCTCCATATTGATCACTTTTTATTTCAACTGAAATCTGAGCATCACTAGGCAATGGCCATCGTTTGATCGACGAATTCCATGTAGCTGTCCAAATGAAACGTGATTCGGAATCGATTAGCTGTAACTGAAATGAAAACATCAAAATTAAAACTAAATTACAATGGAGTGCAAAGATATTTACGGCAATTTCCTTCATATACATTTCGTGATAACCTATGATCCAGTTAACAAGCAGAAGTTGACTGCTATTACCATTTAAAATATACTTAAGCATGTATTTTGAATGTAATCAAATGAGAAATTGGATCATAAAATTTAATCATGGCACAATTCCAAAAGTAATAAAATTGTCCTTACCCGCTGTACTGGTGCGTCCTCGATAAACATTAGCTGTGCTGTTTTAAAATCATTAATTGCCGTGCGGAAAATCCGTTTGTCCCGTCCACCGGAATATACACACGAAAAATTACTGTCAACCTGAAAGCGACAACGAAAGATACTACCCAAAGCATTCAGTAAACTTCAGTGTTTGTATGAATTTTGAAATATAACTATACTGTAGTAAAGCAATGGACACATTATACAACAATTTAGGAACACAAATAAGTCCATACCGACTATGAAAAAATTAAGTTAAATTTACTTGCAAAGCCCAAACACTTTCTGAATGGCATTTCAATGATGATATGCAGCATTGCTGTCCAATACTCCACAATTTTATAGTACCATCACTACTTGCTGATATGCACTGAAAAAATTGGCATATGACACTATGAACTCAAATTCCATGAGCATTCAACCACATGAATTCAAGCAAACCTCTTGTCGAAAATGAAATATAAAGATAGACATCCAAGATTATATTTTAAATCAACAGTAGATATCAGCTTGGTTCATTTTAGTTACACAAAGAATTTGAAATGAAGACCACCCCTTCAAAAGAATGTTAATGATGCAAACCTGTGTACCATCGCGATTCACAACAACTGCCTTAACATTATCGGTGTGGCCACGAAGCTTCATCAACTTTTGACATGCACGAGGATCGAACACACGAAGTACCTGAAAAATACAGGATTCTTGAGATATAACAAAAAACACGAACAAACGAAGATACCTTTTCTGTTGAGCCGGAAATGACGACCGTTCCAGAAGGGTTCGTTGCTAATGAATAAATGCTATCTTTATTACCGGTCAACGAAGATGCTGAAAAGCAAAATTTAAGCTTCAATTTTTTCGAAATTTATATGAACGCTTTGAATAGTTATTAGTTTTTTTTTTTTTTTTTTTTATTAAAGTACTGCAGTAGAATTCAACCCACTTGTAACAGTATTATTTAGTGCAGTTAGTTTTGTCAACGTAGCAATATCCCATAAATAGATAAGCTGATCGAATCCGCCACTCGCAACCATTTCAACATCCCGGGCATACGCTAAGGCACGAACATAATCGCGATGCGTCCGCAGCGTTGACATACAAAAACCTTTTTGAGCATTCCAAACTTTTACCGTTGTATCACTTGAAGCCGAAATTACTGAACTTTAATTTAATTTTAACTGTAGAAGTGAATTTCCTTTTTAACAAACAGATAAGATATATCTACTTGAAATAATTTATATAATAAGTTGTCCACAGGAGACGGTCCGAAGAAAAATTTACCTGAAATCAATAAGTAAATTTCTTAAAACTAGTCATCTTATCTTGACTTAGAATTCTATAGAAAATCATTTTTCTGTAATCACCTAAAAACTTAAATAAGCAAAAAAGAAGAAAAATTTTTAATAAACAAAAACCGCACGATTCCGACCACCACAGCAAAGCACTATATCGTTAACCCAATCAGTATGATGTTCCATTGATTGTAAGTGAAGATCTCGTCGAACTCTTGTTTTTCCACCGACTGAATAACTACTACCACCACAAAAAGATCCCTCGTTGTTTATTAACTGTACAAAAGAATATATTTTATATCTTGATGGATATAATTTGCTATGCTGGTGTCATTCTCAAATGGTGAATAACAATTCTAATTCTTCCCTAAATTAGAAGGAAGTTGGAAAACTTATTGCTATATTTTGATCCCTAACCAATTTTCTACTATTTCAGTGCATCGTAGATGTACGAACTATTTTAGGCAATATTTTCTATTTGTTCCAATCATTTGCATTAATTTTTCCTGCTTACAGCATAATATTTAATGTCTGAAAACAAAACGTTAACAACAACCCGAAAACTGTCATCTTTACGATCGGGTGATTTCCAGATTCGTATAATAGTATCTGAGCCACCGGAAAACAGACGACCTGTTTGTGCATCGTACTGCAAGCAGTTCACACCTGAACGATGCATCGGTTCCTTTTCATCCCGAATCACAAATGAAACCTTAACAGAAATACTTATTTTAGCAAGAATTATTTCTAGCGATAAAGTCATGAGGAAAGAGAAAATTAAAAAATAAGCACATTTAAATATATAAGCAATTCCTTTCACATCGACTATAACATAATTAACCTGTACTTTTTTCTTCACCGGAATAGCTGTCATGTTTTCAACTTAAATTTCTGGAATAAGCATGTTGAGCATCACACAAAACCAACTCACTACTGTGTCCTCCTGCAATAAGTAAGGTGAACTTTCTTCACTGGAATAGCTCCTATGCTTCTAAAAAATGAAAATGTGGATTTTTAAGACCAAACACCCCTAATACCAAAATCACGCACTCCGAATGAGCTTTTCTCGTCCAAGTCAGAAATTCAGAAAAAACACAAAACCGACCTCCAGTGAAGCGATCTTTCTGTATCATGGAGTCTGACTGGCAAAATTCTCCAGTCCTATCAATCTTGGCAATGAAACGAACCTGACGCGCATGCTGAAATCTTACGACGTGAGTTCCACACTTGTGGAACGAATCGATTATTATTCAAACTTCATCAAGTTGTCAGTTGTTAATAAGCGCAAAAAGCTCATGTGAGCCAACAAAATCGGAATATCCCAACATTAGCGACTTTCATTCCCACCTCCCATAATTTTATTTATATTTAGAAACTTCATTCCGCATTTCGTTATCAATAAGGGCTAAAACTCTTGTGAATACAGTTTTTGCCATATAATTAACGCTTCTTAATAAATTTATTTCAAAACACAACGATACATTTGGAGATTACCTCTCATACATAATGAATAACGGACAACGTGGTATGAAAACAAAGTATTTTGATTTAACTGAATCGTTTTGAAAAATACAGAAACTTTGAACTTTTGTTCCATATGAAATATGATAAAATCAAGAAAATGCTAAAATTTTTACATTTAATAAGTGCAAAAAAAGAGAAATCTCACAATTGTGATCATTTAATGCAACACCATGTAACTGACGAAATGTCAGAAGGTGCTAGAGATAAACAGCCACCAAAATAACTGCCAAGGATAGCGAAATAGGATCAAACTTTAAATTGTGAAACATTGGTCAATATTTTCATCTGTGATTTAAACTTCAAGATTTACAAGAATTGAAAAAATACATGGGGATAAAAAATCCTTTAGTAAATTCAACTGATTTCAAGCAAAAATGTCTTCACGGTCAGCAGCAGCCACACCTAATGGATCATCAAATCCTTTAAAGTTTTGAAAATGTAGTGGTCTGTGGTCTTCATGATAGAATTCTTTGGGATTTGTTAACATCAAATCATAACGCATATTTGCTTCATGTCGAACACCTGTAATAAAAATGATACAGAAAATACAGAAAGAACAAAATTTTAGCATTACAAAAAAAACCGATTCATAAACATTCATTTAAATGACGGAGAAAAATTACAATTCATGAAGTCATACCCATGAAGTTATAATTCCATATTCCGGATGACGGTACCATAAAATAGCCAAGAAAACGATCCGACAGAAGCATCTGGACTTTTTCATAATGAGACGGAAGATAACCTTTAGGGTTATTACTCTGCTTATCAGTGTTATTTCGAGCCCATTCAAAACCACTGGGTGTCAGTTTGTACGCAGTTAAAGATACCGATCCCGGAGTGAAACTGAAATTACATATTTCTAAACTGAGTCGAAATCCATAAAATAATCTGAACAAAAATTAAAAATTATACCAACAGTGAAATGATTATAAATTTTTGAGCCACTTCGGAAATGAACAAAAAAAGTAAACTAACCAAATCCACCAAAAAACTAATGATTTGTTTACCTGCAGGTAATAATAACTGTTTTTTCACCATCCCAACTTTCATTTTCTAATAAAATTTTTGCATGGGAAGTTACATCTTGTGGTGACAGCTGAGGTAGTTCATTTGGTTGGGTGTGCATCCTAAAAAAATGCTTCATATCTAATGAGTAAATCAGAGCCGATTGAGATTAGGCATAGATTAAAGAATTAAGACGTCTTACTCCAATAAGTTTCTTCGTATTACATTAACTTTATTACCAAATGTTTGTTTTGGGATTTTGCACATTCTCATTTTCGAAATAAAAATTTCTATATGCTAAAGTCCCTAAATACAATCCCTACCATCCAAGTGGTTCGAGATCCTTGATGAATTCATGAGTGGGCAACTGATTAGGCAGGTGCACTAACTGATGAGTACCCCACTGTGGTGGTAGTACAATGCAACGAATTTCTTTTACTTGTGGGTTATCAGGTGGTGATATTCCATACAGATAACCAGCAACCTGTAAAAAATATTCTATGCTAAAATCAACAAATTAAATTTCATTCTTCTACTGAATTCTTTGTCGAATATTTCGGACTCTAGGAATTTAAAGAAAAAAGACAAAAAAAAAAAAGAAACAGGCACCTGGGTTCTTAAATCTGCTATTATAATGAACTTTTTCAATACATTCTTCGGCAAAATGTATGTATAGCCAGTATCTTTGACATCATCCGAGTTAACATATATATGCTGTGTTCGCAAATGCAAATTTGTTGCACTGATTGCACGAATCCGCCATTCAGTGCGTGAAGCAAATGTTTGACTCTTGAAAATCAAGAACTCATTTGTCATACAAATCAAGAACTCATTTGTCGTACAATTCATAACTTTTTATAACCTAGTTTCTCAGCAGTTTTTAACTTTTCATGCGTTTTCCATCAAAAAATTTATAAGATATTCAAAAATATCACGGATCTCGAATAATGTTCAAAAATCTATTACTTCATAATTGCTTGTCGTTGCCGATATGATTTCATCACCGTGCTTGTTGACTGTGCGAGTTGTGGTAGCTGTCACCTGGAGATGGAAGAGTGAAAACGAACTGAACCATCAAAATAATACATTACTTTCAATTAATGTTCTGCCAAACACAACAAATATTACTGAAAAGGCTCTGACTCGAGAAAAACTATTCCATCAAATAGTTTGAGATGCAATATCCGTCGTCAATTACAAAAATTCGTCTCGTAAGAAAATATACCTGACTTTGCTCCTTTGTCTGCTTTTCAATATCAGCTATTTGTTGACGCTGGGCTGAAGGTGCACTGATTTCCATACCCAAAATAATATCTCGCACTTCACTCTGTGTCAGTGATGCAACATTCACATTATTTTTCTTACCATAATCAGCCAAAATCATATCTTTCAGGGCTAATTCAACCTGAGAATAAGTTCAGTTAATTTTATTTTAAAGACTGAATGTAGTAATCTGATTAGTTATGCAAACCTTAATCCAATCTTCATCACTCAGAGACGGCCATATATGATGAGGCTCCGTTACTGTTGTCTTGTCTGGTTTTAAAATTACTTTCGTTTTGTCAGGGTTAATATGCATACCGCGCATTATCAATATAACACGTGAAAATGCTGTGTAGCTAGAAATAGTCTGAAATATAAAATTATTATAACAGTCTGAGATTCGTTCTTTCCACATTTTCTTTGCTGATGATTACCATTACTTTTATTATTTAATAATCAAAGTACAGTGAACGAGATAAGCTGTTCACAGAATATGAAGTCACTATTTATAATGTAGGCAAAAAAAGTTTCACAAAACCGTGTCCAGCATAGTGAGATGCAGAAGTTTTTGTCTGTATAAACAATATTACAACAAAAACGAGATCTGAATCATACTTTTAGCCAATCATCATATAAGTTGAACAAGACCATCTGTGGTTCAGTTGCTTTCAAAATCAGATCACCGAACTTTTCTACCTAAATGTTTTTCGACTTCAATCCTTAATTAAAAATTGATATTTGGGTGGAAAATAGTATTTACCGAGATAAAAACTATGCAATTTTAACCTTCATAATAGCCTGAAATGGTAACATCAATTCTGATCCCTTGATAACAATATTTGGAAAGTCTAGCAAGTGAACTTCCAGAGGGTCCAACATGGCTTTTCGTGTTACGATGATCTGGCGTGGTTGTTCTTCAACTGGTAAAGAACGAATCAGAGCTGCCACTTCCTCAGCTGTTTTCCATTTAGCTAACTAAAACATATTTCATTATTGCATGGCTAAAAAGTTATACGAAAAAACTGAATAAAATCACAAAAGTGTACCTGACTTAACCGTTTCTGTCCAGCCCATACACTAGTATGGATGATTTTTAAAAAAAGTTGTCCAGTTCGTGGGTTGAAAATAAAAATTGCACCATTAATAGGTTTTGTTGTTAAATTCCCTTCAAATGTCTGTAAAAGTTTGAAGTTTTATGTTATTAAGCTGAAGATTTGAAATTCTAGTAAAAGAGAATGACTGTCTGTCTTAAAGTAAATAGAACAAGTACAACGAAGATCTAAAATGTTTAGTGGTTTCAAAAGAGTATTTGATCGAATTAATGCAATAAAAATACCTTATGGATCGTAACTCTATAAACATTCGTGTCATCTACAAACCATATGATCTGATTACTGAATAATTCGCCATAATTTTGTGATGTTAAGTACGGTTCTGTAGGTTCAGATGAATACAACTGAAGACCTTTACGAATACGTTCACGCAACACATAAAAAGCGGGATTGGCTTTAATGATTTTAGCCATGGCTTGTCGAATCAGTGGTTTCATACCAGGGAACCAATTTCCATATGCACTGAAAAAAACAACCTACTGAATTTTTTTCTCATTAAAAAAAAAATTAAATTAAATTTAAACTTTAAATTTAAACAACAACTGCAAAACTTAAAGAAAAAAGCTACCTATATAAATTATATGCCAGGTCGATTGCAATTAAAACACCAGTTGGCGATGGATAAATAGACATATTATCAGTGGTATAATCAAGGAATTTCGCCCTCGCATAACGTTCAACATCATGTGAATCATAATCACCCCATCGTAATTGAATATCCAGCCAATACTTCTGAGTAGTCGTATTGTCCATTACATCTCTGAGAATTTTTTGAAGCTAAGATATTTTTTCGACGTGGATAAATCAACATACAGGAGCTCGCAACTCACTCATTTATATCTTAAAAGACTTACAAGGTTCCTCACCGATCCTTGTTTCATAATCAGTTTTTTGGCAATATAAATTAACAATGTTGTCAGGTAAACCAGCTAGGTATAGGTCAGCAAGATAATTAAGCACATCAATATATAAAACAAAACTTTCGAAACATGAAGATGTACTTCGTGTCAGCCAATAGTGATGGTCGAGATACATGCCACTTATACTGCGCAAAAAGAAGAATATCAGCGCATGAGCTGTTCATTTTGTAAGATTTTCGAGGATGGATTGTTTCTTTTTGTACAGTCTGAATTTCGAGCGCATCAAGTTCTTGGTCAAATACCTAAAAATATCTTTTTCCTTCTGAAAGAAAAAATTTTCTCTTGCTTCCATATATGAAAGATACCTGGCACAAATCCATAACAACCGATTCATGAATCTTCTGCCACAAGTGAGCACGAAATATTTGAATAAGCGATATTTTTAATGTCGGAATCTTGCCATGCATAAAGATGCCAGTAAGATCAAGTTGCACTTGGAAACCAACATAAACCTATATATTACATCATTTGAATTCCAGAAAAACTTGAATCAACAAAAATGAATTACAACTAAAACATAAAAGCTATGGTAGAACTAACATTAGCTCGATTAATAGTAGGCGACCACCACAACGTGAAACGACGATTCGGGATTTGATTCAAACCAGATCGTTGGGCATTTGTCAATTTCTTGAACTTCATCGATTCCTCGAAACCAGATGCCCGCTCCCAAAACAAACCTTCCCAGGTGGGGAAATATGTACCCTGAAAAAATACCCACTTACTACTCATGCAATAATTATATCTGTATTATAAATCTGCAAATTAAACATAATTTGATTTGAAATAAAGAACATACTCGAAATAGCGTGTGTTCAAGAATACCTTCAACACCACCCAAAGCTTGAATCATATCTGTACGATAATTATTTAAATTCCATAATTTGCCGTCATGCCGTTGATGTGTCCACCAGAATGGATTTTGTTTCAGAATCTGAAAAACAACATATTCAATATATTCAAATAGACGATTTTTTAAAATTAAACTTCAACTTTATAAAAGCTACAGTTTCCAAATTAGTACTCCAAAATAGATTTATAAGACCTGATAAGTTTTGAATTCCGTCCTCACTCGCCACCCTTTGTCATATGCCAACGTATGTCGATCTTTTTGAAACAATGTATTTATTCGTGGAATCCCACGATCCCAGCTATCATCCAAATCTTCAAGAGTTAAACGACGATTCTGCGCATTTGCTTCTTGCCTTTTCAAAGCATATTCTGCCCATACCCGCTGTGAATCGATGAATTCGGCTTCCCAAGGCTAAAAATATAAAACTTACGAAACAAAAGAACTTGGAAACTTTTAAACATTATATTTCATTAAAATAATTCGAATATCCGACAGAAGACCACGAACAAACCTGAATGTAACGATATAAGTTCGGAATAAGCTGATCTTCATCGTGCGTCATGCCACTTCGGAAATGAGTAATCCCACCTTGATCGGTTTGTTTCATCCATCGTAAATCAGACTGCGGAATTAACACATGCCCCATTGAAAGCATACCTAATCCTCCAATTTCCTTTGGTGTGTAAAAAACCACTGGTGGGAAGCGGGCGGGCATTTTGGAGTTTAGACCAATCTTGATACTAAAATATAAATTGCCTACTTTCGAAAAATCTCAACTGCATTTTTGATGTGAACAAAGAAGACCTTAATCTACTAAGTAAGCGTTTTGATTAAGACTCCACATACCTGAGTAAAAAGAAACAACATTGATATTTCACTACCGCACTACTATAATCTCTTTTTAGAAAAATGCAGTTTTATTACTATCAGATGATATGTGTAAATGTGTCATTGCACAATAAAGTCATATAATTCTCTAAATGATAAGTCTTGATTAAGATCATTGTGCAGTCATTTAGTGGGCTTTCCAACAGAGCGTAACTGCATTCCTAAAAAGGTAGGGAACCAGTATCTTAAAAGATGCTAATGATGTCAATGTCTGTTTTATTCTAATTCATCCATTTTGGTTTCTTAAAATGGTGAGCAAATTACCGAGTTTGGATTTTATTTTCACACTTCACCAACAAATCTAGTAATTCTTGAGTATTAACAACAGCTTCCCTGAAATATGTCATCAATCCAATTAGCGCCGTATTCCATTTATTCACAATCTGAAACAGATTTTTAGCAAATTAGTTCAGAAATTATTGGTCACTAGGTTTATGAAACTAATAAAAATATGGCAAAATACCTTTGTAAAGGTGGTTGATCCAGAAGACATAAGAATCTGTCGGATACGGTTATGGAATTTCAATAAGGATTCCTCATCAACTTTCAGGAAACATTGTGCCGTACGTTCTTTTGTCACCTTGAAGATAAAGTACCAAAACATTAAAGGCCTGAATTTGAAAAGATACAATAATAGTGAGGGATAGAAACAACCTCATTCTGCAAGTTCCAAACACCATCACGATGTGTCAGTTCTTCAGTTGCCATGCGGCACTTCGGTAATATTCTGCACTCAAAACCGCACATGTCAAACAACAAGTTTGGATTATCCTTGCTGTACACCGATACAAATGAATTCTCCCACTCGACTGTGGTAACTGATCGAGGCAAGCGATTCTGCAAACTTAATTTCATAACACTGCGATATTTCTGAGCCACCTGAACGATAATTTTGCCAAAGCTTTGGACCTACCTACGTCTAACAAACTTGAATTTTATTTAAAATTTTTACAATATTGTACTATTGCTATCTATCAATCATAATCAAAAAGATCACTGTTGCAACTTGGTTTAAATCACGTAAAAACGAAGCGGTAATTTCAGCCAGTAAGAAGTTTCGAAACTAGATTTTACAAATATAAAAGATATTCCTGTTACTGTCCAATTGAAAACTCCACTAACTATTTAACTTTAAGAGGAATAGAAATAAAGTCACAACGATTAATTAATGACTAAAAAAGATGCTTCCTATACATTAACAACACACCATTGTCAACGTTTTGGAGGTGAAATGAAACATGAAATTTATTTAGTGTAAGTTTGTGAATGTTCTTCATTAAGACAAAAATAAATTATTGGTGAAATATAAAAGTAAGGCAATGAATGAAAACCAACCTTAAACAAACTGGACTTTTTATGAAGAAATTTCCTTATTTTAGGCAGTAAAGTCCAAAGCTTGAGTTTTTGTTAAAATCAAAAATCAGAGCTTGAATTTCTCTCCAACACTAACAGCCTCAAAGTCCAACTGCAATTTAACAATTTTAGTGAAGCGAACCTTGATATCCCAGAAAACAGCACGGCCTAAGTTAACGTCATGCTTCATTAGTCTCATTCGTGCGTCTCGTGGCCAACATTTCTTGTTATTATAGCCAACAATATTTTCATTGTTTGGATCTGGATGCTCCGTCAAATAGCGCTGGATTAAATCTCTTGCATCATCGGCCGAGAATCTTGAAAAATCTAGTTTTTTCTTTCGTGAAACTACTAAAATGTTAAAATACTTCAGCATGGAATCAAGGAAAATACCTGAAGAAGATCCAGATTTTATCGATATATCGACAGTACAATCTAATAGGATGCACAATCTCTGTTGCAACGTCTTGATAAGTGAGAAATTCATTTGGACACTAAAATATTGTCGTAAACATTTTGTACATTGTGCTTATGAAAATCCCACAAATCTAAACTATAAAACTCACCTGAGGTGGTCCAGCTATTTCACTTGCCCGTCTAAGACCAAGAATTAAGAGGTCTAAAACCAATCCATAGTATTGCACAATAAATGATGCAAACTGCAAACCGCGAATAATACCAAACGAATTGGTATGGTTCATATCTTTGTAATTGATTAAAACATTATTTTTTGCTGTCATGTAGTCCGCAATATTGTGGTCAACAATCAATCTGAAATATAAAATAATATCTTTTGAACAAGCATGTAAAAGTACTTAAACTCACTGATCTCAATAGTACGTATTTTGCAAATGAGTTTTATGCCAACAAATAACAAGTATACATTATGCGAAAACATCACCCACCTTAATAATCTATTCAGCAGTGTTAAATCCATTTTTTCATAAACTTTTTCTAGTCTTGCTTCCAACATAACATCACATTCGCCTTCAACAGTGTCCCAAACTTCTTGTAAATTATTTATACCCTGACACTTAAAAAACCAGAATATAAGTTCAAGATCATATTTCCGAATTTACTCCATATAAAACTGAAAGTTTTGCATGGAGTAAATTTTTGGGTCTATTATTTTTGTTGCAAATTGAAAGAAATATACGTAAACATATCATTTATATGTAAGAAGCGGTGGTGGTTCAGTATCACTTGGTTTAATCCAATTTGGAAATAACCGACGCTTATCTGCTTCATACCATAAATACTGATCCAAATAAGCATCCGTGACTTTTTCTAATGGTTCAATATCATATACAGGCACTAAATGAGAATAGAGATCCATAAATTCAATGCCTACTTCCTGAAATTTTAGGAATAATTCGTCTTTCGCTAAAGCATTATGCCAAAATTTAAAGTTCACGTCAGAAAAAAAAAAAATAGAATAAACAAGTCAGAAAAAGTTTATAGCAAAATAAAAATAACCTTGAATGCACGCTGTGTCAGCATATGTCGTTTAATACGTGAAAGTGCCTCATGAGGATTATCATATGCTTGCTCGATTAATGCTAATTCCTCTCTTTGACTTTGATTTAGACGATTTTTTACTGAGTATGCTTCCTAAAATAATACAATAACTTCCACTGATCACTAGTAAATCATCAACAACTAAATCAAATCTAGGAAAAGTCTCGTTTATACCTTCAATCGTTCCAATGCAAGAATAAGCAATTTTGTGTCGTGTTTGTATGAGAGTGGTGGAAATGGGATCGGTGAAAAACGTCTTGATTCAAGCCAATGTACAGTAGTTGTATAAACTGCTACTGCTTCCTCAGCACTAATATACGGTCCATCCTTCAAGTAATTATGTTGTCGTTCCTGTTCAGCCTGAAATTTAGACATAAAAAAAGGCTGTTCTGACAAAAGCATATGAAACATTAACAATAATTTTGCAAGACTTTACGATTTTGTAAAACTCCCGAAGCTGGCAAACTGGTTGAAGCAAGTGGCGAAGAAGAAATGTTACTCAGTAATCAATCACAACACCAAAAGCGAACGTCCACAAGAAATATTTTCAGATGCAAGCTGGAAACATACTTTTAAATACAAACGCGTTAAGCGACCAAGATTTTTTTTGCAGACAGTTTTATCAACAGTAGCACCACGGCGAACGCGTTCGCGATTATAGTGAGCAGAATTTGTCCACCAATCAGCCTTTGCTTTCACATAACGCAGAATCATATTTTCAACCGGCGTTGGCAGCCCAGGGACCTGAATACGAAGAATCTTTCTTATTTGAATAGCATAATTCAGTTTTTTTTCCAATACAATCAAATGTTTTACCTTCCACGGTATATTAGCCTTCCAACAACGCCATGCTTCGCTTAGATGCTGCAAAATTACTCGTGCTTTATTCTGCTTGATTCCTTCTGGCATCATATCAAGGATATCGTGCATTACAGCAGCTCTAAATCAAATTTTTCAATGTTAGAATCTAATTGTCATTCCGTGAAATCTTGAACAATGAAGAACTAAAACTACCTTAATTCGAGGTCGAAGTGTGATTCTACTCTTTGCTTGGTCACAGTCTTTGCTACGCCCTTTGAGTGACGGCCTTCGAACTGCCGCGATAAAAGATTTCCAAGCCATCGTTCCAGAAGTGGCGTAATTCCACGCATGAAGAAAAGCCATACTCTCCATCCTGGTGCCCACACACCACATCCCGGTCCCTTACCTGAATTTGGAATCATTCATCTAGTTTAACAGACTCTCAGTACTCAATAATGGTAAGCGTAATCAGAATACATGTTGTAGAAACAGATTCTAAACAATAATTCTGCACTCACCTACAGGTCCGGTATTGAAACGATAATAAATCAGGTGCTTCAAGTCCTTACACATACGTACTTGTCTCATTAACTTGTATTTGTAACGATACATGCCCGTAAGTTGGCCAACATGAGAAAAAATGTACTGCAGGCCATCGGCAAGCTAAAGAAATGAACACATTAATTAGTGTATTTCAGAAACGCATACGCATACAGCGTATTGTAAATCAAAATGTGTTTAATATACATGACTCTAGTGTATCAAATTTTTAAAGCAGAATATGTGCCAAATTCTATTAAGTATACCTGATAAGCGTCTACATTATTTAATCGATACTGGACATGAGCATCAACCACTAATTTTGTAAGACGTAAAATCTCACGGCACAAATGGAACGCATTACCAAAACGAGACTTTTTGCGCTCCTTAGTTGTTAAAGTCTTCACTGGCTATAAATATTAAAAGATAATTTCAAAATAAAATCAATCCAGTGAAAATTTATAGGAACTAGTACTGATACAAAAGCCTCCGTTCGATACAACTAGATATTACCTTTAAGTTGAAATTATAATCCAAATGAAGGTAATTCAGGTTCTTGCGATGAATTAATAAATTAAGCATATTATAGCCTTGTCGTAATACTTGCAAGCCAGCTTCGACCCAATCCAGTGTAGTTGATTGGAAGAACTTCGTTGATTTAAATGACCGAAACAGATAACTGTAAGCAATTAAAATCCTTCAGTAAAACGAAAAAAATAATTACATGCTTTTTTTCAAAGAGTAAAAAGAATGTTTTGAAAACTTGAAATGAACCAACCGTCGTTTTTGAGGTTTTGGTGGTCGATGACGTAAGGCATTTAATACAAAAACTTTAAGCAATTTCTGGTACGAAACACGAACTTTCACCGGCATCCCTGGAATTTAAAGCTTGTATTTATGGCGAACTAACCAAACATCACTTGCGAATTATGATAACAAACCGGAGGGACAGTGTTCACGGTACCACGACTTCACAAGTGGTACATCTATCGCTCTTCGTGTACGGCCGGAACGCATGTTGAATGGTCGTGGAGCCCACATTAGAGCTATTCCATTGCCAGTATTTTCCGTATAAAGCGGTGTTTCACTAAAGATTGCTTCAACTTCTTCCGGTAATGTGAAGTCTTCGTCATCGATTGGAGAGAGTTCCTTACTCTACAATTTTCACATTTTTAAATTTTGAAAAAAAAAAAAAAAAAAGAATTACGAAGAGTCGGAATAGTTTCATAAATGTACCCACTACAATCTTGCGACCTTTACTGGCACTCATTGCAGTCGCTCGCCTCATATTATGGCAATCCTAATTTTGGTTTCTGTTATCGATTTGATAAATATTACAACCAAATCATTGTTTAACAGGAACCGAATAATTCACAAGTGATGAAAAAAATAAAAAATAAAAATGTATCGCTTTTGGCGTTTTGAACATACAGTTGAACTAATCCAGTGAAGAAATCAAATGTAACTGGATTTCAAACACGTGAATCTAGCAATTCAAAAGCTGTGTAAATGCAATATAAAAATTTTCAGTATCAAAAGTAAGTTCGGCAACTGTTCAAAAAAAAAAAATGACTCTGTCAAACCTTCAGAATCATACACTAAAGAAAGATATAAATCAAATTTCGATAATTTCCAAAAAAATTAAAAGTTTAGGATTTATGTTATGACCTTCTCCGCTGAGCGCTGCGCTATTGGATTAATCAAAGGATCGTAATAAAATGCTGGCAAATCTGGATCCTCTGTTTTGATGAAAACGACGGAAGGTGTGTGATACCTAAAAAAAAAGAAAAAGTTATGGTAGTAGATACATGCCAGTTTTTCTTTTATATTTTGACCACGCCTTCCAGATTTTACAAGCAATAGCCAATTCACCGGTTAATTACTTGTTAACGAATCTCAATTTCTCTAAAAAATAAAACATACCAAGATACCTGCACCGGCAAACTGTTTATGAGATTATTATACATAAATGGAAAAGCAATACGATATTCGGTACGAATGGGAGCTCTAATAATCACTTTGTTTATGTCGTTGAACTCATTCCAATCTTCATCGCTATAAAATGAAACCATTATTATGCACATTTTAAAATTACCTAGCGTAAATTCGATTATCTTTAGTTCTTTGTCCCTAAAAGAAAGAAAGTAAAAAAGTTGTAACAAAAAAAAAAAAAAACAGCTAAAACACTTACAGTGCATTAAGATCCTTAACCAACGGTTCAAATTTTGGTCCACCAGGAATTGCGACATTTAAAGCTTTGGCCGTGAAAAAGGATTTCAAATCAAACAAATAAAAGTAGTTATCATCCACAAGATCTGTCAACAATTGATTGGCGAGACGATATAGTGTAGCCATCATAGGTATACTGAACGCCCAACGTCGATACGTCGTTCCATTAACAAATCTGAACAAAAACAACTTCATCATGAAATTCACCAAAAGAACTCTGTACAAATTAAATGAAAGAAAAAGAAACAGATTTGTCGCGTTTAACATCTTGTGCTAATTTTCATCTTGTGCTAATTTTCTTATATATTTCTACGACGAAATTCGGCGTGATCGAAGATAAATTCAAACCTAGTTGTAGATAATGGCTTGTGGTCATAAAACCACTCGGCAACAGTTTTATCTTCATCCTGGTCAAGTTCCATTTGAATTGGCTCTAAAGGTTCCACATCTAGGATGTTATCTGCGTAGTCTAACGGTGGCTCTTCATCATCAAATGGCGGAAAACGCATACGCTGTAATTAGAAAAATATAAACTGCGTATTCAATTTATTTCATTTAATCAAAATATTTAAGTAAGCTGATACGTTTTTGAATCTACAATGATTTTAATTTTTTAGCTGCTGTATTGGGACAAAAAATAACTGACTCCTTTTATTTTTCAGAACTATTTTTCAAAACAATTAGTCACAAAGTGAAAAGCACGAATTACCTTGAAATGTCTTCGGTCCCTCTTTTCTCGCCTCATCATTATCCACATTGTACCCCACTGCGCCATATATACAGGTTCAATCACACGAGGAATTTCATTCACAAATGTTATTGCACCCGTTATATGATAAAGCACCTGGACAAATGTTTCATAATCATACTTATAGATAATCAACAAACATGAGAAACACGGTTATACCATCTAAACTATCCCATTTCCACTTTTCTAAACGTAATCATCCAGTTTTTTTTTTTTTTATCGCAATTTAAGCCATCTAAAAACTCGCGGAACTTTGGATTGAAAAATATTCCCATTCCCAAATGATGATTTGGCAAGGCTAAAAATTTGATAATTAAAAAAAAAATTACTTTAACATCACGAATTTGCTCCCACGGCATTGGCATGTTTTCAAGAAGTTTCAAGACTGCGTGGGGCATATATTTCAAAGCTCCCAAATAAACTCGTTTATCATGTCGATATTTCCGTGACGTCATGTCACCATGATCACGGATAATTTTCCGAACATGCTCTGAAAGTATTGCTGTTGGGAGTTAATCCTAAAATGGGAATAAACTTCCTGAATCTCAACAGAGTCAACATCGACATATCTTTTCTATAGAGGTTTTGAATTTTTTGACTGTGAGTACGCCGACATTGTTTATACAAAACCTCACACTACATCATGATAAACTTTATAATCACACCTGGTGGCATGTCTTCCTTTTGCGAATCGACAAAGCCAAATTTTCGTTTTTCCGCATAACGTTTCGATTGTAATTGCTTCCATTTCCGTGCTTTTTCTTCTAAAATATTTTCAGGAAGCATTTGTGGCGGTACAGCATGATGACCTCCGGCCTGTGGTTGTGTGGGTGGTTGGAAAAAGGTTCCAGACTGTGCTGTGACATTACTAAATGGCGTCGACACTGGCAATGACATTCTCGTATTATCAAAGAATGGGGTCTTTAGTAGTTGAAATCTTTCAAGAGACCTGAAATATTACGCTGCATCATAGCATGTAAAACTATGTAAAACAATCAACCGTCCAAAAATTCTCTGTTCAAATTGTTCATGGGATTCTTTATCAACATGGGATCCATTAAAATCAAATTTACAATCCCTTCTTCGCAATGCAAACGATCTGTACCAGTATGCTTAAACTTGTTTTTAGATGTAAACTAAACTCATTAACACACTTCTCTAACTTTAAAAAATAAAAGCTTAGCTTATAATACATGCAACTTGCTAGCAATTACTCAATTCACTGAGTACGAACTTCGACATTTAACGATTGATAACACCAATTTATACCATAATTTTCGCAGTCTCCGGTTACTAAGGAACTAGCAGTGGCTGACAGCATGACGTACCCCCCAGCACATACCCTATCCCTTCCCATACCTCCACAACCCCTCGCACCTGCACCATACTTTTGGGCAGTATACCAAGAATAAATCACAGTACTCAACATACTTTTTCAAGAATCATGTTTTCTGTAATAGCATTATGTGCAAGTAAAATGATTTTAAAAATATATGATTTGAACATTAGCAATGCAGAAAGTGCTAGAGTTGTGTAGTGTGGAAAGAGAGAAAACATTCTAAAAATTATTTTATATTATTTATGAGGCCTGATGCAATGATAATAGCATGCTTTCTAAGCACTTAAAAAGTAAAAAGTAAGGATGACACTGTTCCGTCCGAGTTCAATGATGTCCACTTTGTAAGCACTCATGTCTCGTTGTCTTCATCTTGTTTGTTAAACTTTAAAAAGTTTAAAATTAATCCCTCAAGTTAAATTGAACCCCTCTAATTACTTCATTTTGACACCATTCTCCTGTCACCCAGTAATTAATGCCATGTACATGTTTTTCTCTGCTTATCTCTTTGAAAGGCAGAATTGCAATTCGTTTCACTATGTTATATTACGTTTCAATTTTGATATATTTGTACGAATCAGGTGAGCTTTTATATCATTTAATTTATGTATAAACTTAAGCAATAAACGAATAATCCCTACATTGTATATAGTCAGCTTGCATATTATTTAACAAGCAGTGCAAGGTTACCTATAGTACATTAAGAATAATTATTATACTAGTGATTTTAATTGGTTTACAGTTTGGTTAAAGCATAATCCTTTAATCATTTTATCAATCATTTTTACATTTCAGAAGTTGAACTAGTAAGCTATCCAATTGCCATAAATCAAAAAAGCTGTTTGCTGATGAAGTTTAATAAATCGAAGATTAGTAGCCTAAAAATTGACATGTAATGACCATTAATGAACTACACAACTTATTTATTCCTAAATACTGCTGTCTCTTTGATATCCATAAAAAAATAAAATTATTGAAGCAAAGTAAATACATAAATAAACTAGCCAGAAAACGATAAAATATATGCTGAACAAAACTTGTTGACGATAGATACAATTTTATTAAGAATGGAAGAATTCTAAATCGACGGTTATTATGATTATGACGGTTACCAAAAAATTAAATATGGTCTTGAACCGAAATCAGAAATACTGATAACTTATAAATTCATCGGTACCCAATTTTTTCTTTTTTTTTTATACAACAAAATTTTTCATTATACAGTAAGATATGTTATAAAGCATCGTTTTCTCAACCTCCTATAGAGAATGAAATTCGAAACCTTTCACGTCGCCAGTTGACTCAATTCTTGCCTTTTCACTTTTAACATTTAACAGTTTTAAAAAGAAAATAAAGTAACTTATGGTCTGACCAGCAGTGTTCATGAAGATGATTTCAAATATTAACAGAAGAAACAAGAACAGATGCTGTCAGTCCAAGAAAGCGAAAAATGATAAGAGATATAATCTCAACGTGATTAATGCTGAATAGCAAACGACAACTGTTTATGGTTTAATTAGAAACGATTATGACACAAAACAAAAGCAGTGAACACAACGGACAAAAATATTAAACACTTTCTTTTGCCAAAAGTTTAGAAAACTTGGCTTTTAGAATTTTTAGAAAATAATTTAAAACAATAGTCAACTTCCTAAAATTCAGCAATTTATTCGCAAATCAAATAAATTCCGCTTATCTTCAAATCAAAAAATTTACGATGTATTCCTTTAGCTCTGATCAATTTCGCGAATACAGAAATGAAAATAATAAGAGCAAAACAATGAAAATAGATGTATAATAGGAAAGTAAAAAACGGAAAGTAAAAGTCAATCATTTCTACTTTTCGGTTTTTCTTCTTCGAGCACTCTCTCTCTGAATTTAGCCATTTGGTAGTGCGATATTTTCCGGATCATCAGGAAGCCAGCAATAATCTAAAGTCCAGTCATTTAAAATCTTGTAAAAATTGTGTAGGTCAATATACAAATTTTCAAAAAAACACTTTAGAAAGTTGCTCCTCCTTTCTATCAACAATTTTCTCGATATCTTTTTGAGTACCCCTACAATTGAATAATTGGTTCCGAATGAAAGGGCAAAATTGATAAAAGTACCTCTATCAATAAAAAAACGCCATGGTAGAGACACAAAATTCTCTCTAAAGGTAGTGGAATATTAATATTTAAAACAGAAAATGCTGCAATCGGTACTTGCAAAATTACACTTGTTACCCAGAAACCGGATAGAGCGGATATCTGAAATGACGACAAAACTTTTAATTCATACTTCAGCTCATTTCTTGTTGGTTAATTTTAAGTTATATGTGATAGACAAATAATTTGATATTCCTGACCTAGCATACCGTACTTTAAAGTTTTATATTCAGTGTTCTCTTCCATAAAAGTTTGACAGCAAGCTTGCATTGAAGGTAGTTCGGAAAAGAGAAATCAAACGTTATGCAAATTATACAAGTGTCTGCAGAATTTAAAATAATTCGCATACTACACTCACCTTTTCATTCAAATTGCCGTAGTACCCAAGAAATAACCGAATAAACTCAACTAAAATTGTTATGAAAAATAAAGTCAACAGTATAACCACATGAGTGATAGACAAATATTCCATCTGTAATACATTCATAATATAGTCATGAAAAGTTGTGACTGTACTTTTGAACCAGTCTGGTTACTCATTTTTTGCTAACAAGCATGCATACTATTAGGATCATAGTAATAACAAATTATGAAATAACTTTGGAATGATTTTATCAATTTATACTTTAATCTCGCTTTCATTTTTGATGATACAGATAGCGAGAAACTATCTGATTTATGGTCTTTTATCGAATACAGTTTTGAGTTTTGCGCCTTTTACTTTAATCTCTACAATAAATTCGTCATTTTTCACTGATGAATGGATATTACGGAAGAAAATTGCGCTTTTACTATATCAAATGTCAGCATATAACTTCAATGTTTCACAACCGCCTTATACCTTTATCACACAATCAAAACAATAGTTTGGTAGTAAAAATTAACAACATAACAAAGATTTATACAACAATAAATTAGTTAGTTTCTGTAAGTTTTGTATCATTATTTTACATTTGCTTGGGAGCAAGCAACTCTTCCGTAAATAAAAAAAGGTCTTTTTGTAAAAAAATCTTGCAAAAAAAAAAAAAAAAAGAAAACGAATATGATGGCTAGAAATAAAGGATCTGAGATCCTGATATTAAAAAAAAATTTTAGCAGCGAAATTTAATATCATAACAAAAAGACTTATTTAGTAAATTAAATTTTGTTACCTTACTGATGAGGCCAACAATCAACCCAGTGGCCCAAAATGGGGCCAAGCAAACGTTATAATGCAGAGTAATTTGTAACGGTAAATTTGATAAAATTTCTGAAAGTTAAAACTTTTTACTGTTTGCAAAAATTGGTTACTAAAAATATCTGTTAAAGATATTACATATTTACCATTTAATCCTTACCAACTTCTGCTTGTTCTCCAAGTTTTTCCGCCGCTCTCATCTGTGTTTTAATTCCTGTAAAATCTGAGAATTTTTCTCGAAACTGCGAAAGTTGTCTATCTTGAATTCATTAGACCGTACACGTTATTAGACATAAACAAATTAACTTAAAAATAAACCAACTTTTACTGTTTAAGAAGTTCGCTAATGGTAATTCTCTCTGACTCAAACAAAAAAGAAAATATTTAACAGCTTATTTAATTTCCCCTTAAATTAAAGACTAGAAATAACTGAAAATAAGAACTACAAGGAGTGCCTACCTAAAGTTGCCATGGTGACATCAACGGTAGATCCTCACCTTCAACAACACGTCATCGAGAAACCATCACTTCATGAAAAATATGTGAAGACTAAATTTATGTAACTTGTACAACAAAATATGGAACTTGAAGAATTAGTTGATCGTAAACGCAAGGTCCATCACATCACTAGAATCTCCCGAAGCCTGCACCTGCAGTCTATTCCGCAATCTTCCAGAAGATGACCTCCCAATACAACAGTTCTGTTCTCACTCTTCTGAGAAGTACCATCGATACATCCACTACTGCTGCTGCTGCTGTTGTCACTGTCGTTGTCGCCGTCACCATTATCATCACCCACTCCTTCAGCCGCATGAACAAACAAACACCACCAGCAACACAAACCATGCACACGTATAGAACGGATCTAATTTTTTGGCTACTTGTCTCCTGTCCTGTCTTTAGTAATGAGTGGTCTAAGAGAGGTGGCGAGTGGAATAACTGCAAAAGTAACGGGAGCTTTGTTAGAGAGAGACTAGAGATTGGTCTGTGTTGTCATCAAAAATAAACTGAGTTAGTTAAAAGGTGTGATGTAAGTAGTCATGTCTGTGTGTTGTTTTCAGTTTATAGCGAATGAATACAGTGGAAGATCTCGGGAGTTATAAGCTTCAGCTTCAACAGGTCCGCTTATTATTTTTCTTCAGTTTCATCCCACATTTTTGCGAGTTTATCTGGATGGATAGTAATCTCCATTTGTTTTTATCTGGATGGATAGTAAAATTTATCTGGATGCATTTGTTTACATATCTATAAAATTAGACCTTATCATTGTTTTGTGGTAGTTTGATTGTTACTGGAAGTTAGTGTTATTAGTATAGACAAATCTGTTTAATTTCATTACTTGAAATTCCAGTTGTGATCGATCATGCAATGGTTGTAGATTTTTTCAGGTGGAAGCAGCACTCCTAACTGAACCAGATAACGATGAGCTATCAAAGTTGAAAGTCGACTTGCAGGAAATTATTGCACTTCAAGAAGAACTGACATCACCAATAGTCGAACAACCAACCAGTACGACTTCTGACGATGCTACTAAAAATCCTTGGAAGGTGAAGCTATTTTATTCTATATTTATTCTTCAAAATATAATTTTATTTTGATCTTTTACTTCTTTCAATATAATTAATTAGGCAAAGTAAAAGTCCTTTCTAATTGCTTTCGCGGAGGTACAGTTCTAAAATGTAAATAAAATAAATCGCATGAACCTTTTTGTTCTGACAGGTGGGAGATCAATGCATGGCTCCATCTTCAAATGGACAAAAATATTTAGCAGTAATTGATGGATTTGCACAAGATAATGTTGCCGTTACACTCGTCGGTAAGCACTCAATTAAATAACAAAAACCTTTCAAAGCTTGTTATTTTATTTGTATATATATATATATATATATATATATATACAAATATTTAAATTATATATAAATATTTGACGTTTAGTGCTTGAAAAAGAGATGGAAGATTCATAATTAAAATGAACGTTTAATCTGTTGGTTTCTTTTTCCTATGTTGTGTGTGTGTGTGGATTTTGTCTAGTTTTTCTCCCGATTGGGATATAAGAATAGTAATTTTTTCTTGGTCATGCTTTCAGTAGAACAAGCAAATTTTTCCTATGTTTGCTTTAAAAATGATAAAATAGTTATGGATAATGTTTTGTATTTAGGTAAAGGAACAAAAGCCATGGTTAACGTGAATAATCTAAGTGCAGTTCCGAAAGATGATGGAAAAATGTACGTTTGGGAAAAATCAACTAAAAGCATGCGTCATCGCAAAAGCGAATGGCAGGTGAAACACAGACATTAATTTTAATTAGAATTCATAAGTTTGCATCAAAATATAATTTATTCATTTTAATAAACTATTGATTTAACAACAACAATGAAACCTCAGCGAGATATCCATGAGTATGACATAATATAATTTAACTTCTCATCATTGGAAGTGTTTCACTAATTCAAATAGTACAGTTTTGGTTTTGCTTCTTTTTCTTGATTTTATTAGTTTATTTTGAGGAACTGTTCATTTACAGATGGAGCGTGAAAGACGGCGACTACGAGCACTCAAAAAAGAGCACCGAAAAAAGGAACTAGAAGAAGCAAAGGAGGATGAGAAGAGGAAGTGGCTTTCTTTTAATGCAAAAGCAGCAAGTCGAAGCATGAAAGTAACTTTGGAATTAATTTTTCTTAAATTTTGATGTGGTTGCAATGAATTTCCACAAGGAATATGAAGGGAATGAATAAAAGAGACAAAACAGAAAATAAACGTGTTTTAAATATGAATCAGAATGGATTGGAATTTTGTACTTAGTAAGCTACACAATTTTTTTGCTCGAATAGTTTTTAAAATACATGTAGCAGATGGACTACGGGAATGAAATTTTGGCTTATTTTGTTTACATCGAACAAAATATCTTAGCCATATTTAATCATAGCTATATTTCTCTTAACAGTTATACGGACATTTTGAGCTATTAAGAATGACTATTTTAGGGATTTAAACGACCTACAGCATCGGGATCAGCTCCAGATGGACCAGCTTGGGGTATTACGTCACAGACGAGGATATCATCACGACAAGATCTCGGTGCCTTCAAATCAACGCAACGTGGAAATATGGATTCATTGTTTTAATTTTCATATGTAAGGTACATTCTTGTTCGTGTTTTCTGTTTTTCATGTACTCTTGAAGGTAAATGGGTAGGACAATTGTTAAAGTAGTTTGCTTAAGAGAAGTAATGTATATGCTTAAAGAACAAAAGGACATTTTTTTAGAGAAAAGTTTTTTTTGCTTAAAGAACAAAAAGTTTTTTTTTTTTTTTTCCTTTTTTCTGATACTAGATAGCTTTTAATATAAAATATGAAATAGTTTGTGAGATTAATGCTTAGTGCAGCAAAGCTGGTATTGTTTTATTGCTTGCTGATGCTGGATAAAAAATTCATTGTTTCTTACGCTTGACAATAGTTTTCTTCTGAAAAGGAATGATGTAACAACTAATTCATTATGCGGCTATCTAATGTCTAGAGATAACAAATTCTCTTCATCTTAGTCGGTTCTTCCAGCTTTTTAGATATTTATTTACGATTTTCCGAATCATATTTGTTCTTCTATATTTGTACTTCTGTTAAGTCTTCAATATTTGTACTTCTGTGAAGTCACCAAACTTTGTACCCAATGACGAAAAATACAAAAAAAATTCTGCACTGTGAAAATTGAAAAACAGTGATTTGCGCTGTAAATGGTAAGTTGTTTACACTTGACCAGCAGATGATATAAGCAAAGTGATTTATTTGTGGATTAGTTCCAAGTAAAAATACTTATGGTTTTTGTCATATGACTATTATGTCATTTCGATATAATTCATAGGTAAGTAGTGCAAGTAATTTTAGTATTATCTGAAACTATTAGGTTTGTATATTTTTCGACAGAGTCAAAGCTGAATTTCATAGCTCCGATTCGTGTCATAAGAATAAGGTTTAGGAAAAAATGATAAGTAATTGAAAAACAGAAGATAGAAAATCAAACCTAACTTCGAGTGATTGTTTACTTGGCTCACAAATCTTGACAACACATTTTGCTTGTGATGAACTGTCCTTGGATCCTCTTGTGCTTCACTAAGGGTTACGAATCAAGATTTTTTGGCTAGTTAAAAGTGGTGTACAGCTGACTCATTTGAGAATTTCAGATAAACTTACAATGAAAATAATTAATACTTGATGGATTTTGAAGTTTCCGAAGAGGTGTATTATGCAATTCAAATTTAGAATTCAAGTTTCTCTCCCTCTCTTTACATATATATATGCTGACTTACATTCTCACTATCCATTCATGAATGTTTGATGTCTCACTGTCTTTTATTTATATATTTTTTCTTTTTTCATATTAAGCTATTATAATTCTGTTTGCAGTTTTAATTAGATTTTTATCATATTTTTGCTTTTAAAGCTATTTTATTAAATAATGTATTTTTTGTTTGTACTGGAGCAACCGCTGTCATTTTGTTGGGATTATCAGCATTGCTATATCATTATTTTTTGATGTTCAAGTTATTATCGCTGCTGTCAACATTATCGCTTTTTTAAACATTGTATACCATCATTATTAATAGCATCATCAGGAACGGAATTCTGTATCGCACAGACATTCCAAGACTGTTCTAAACTGCTTTGTCAGCATTAGTTAAGTAATACTTTTATGCGCTCATTCCTTTGAACTGTAAGTCGCATATATGTTTTAGTCGTATATCATCATATGAATTCCTGAAAGGGAAATTCCAGAAATTTTGGAATTGATCATGATTGAATTTAACTTCATTTATGCAACCTTTGGGTATTCTTCTTCTTTGCACCAAAATTTTTAAACTCCGAAATATTATTCCTGGGAAACACTTCTGTATGAAATGAGCGCAAACGCAAGGAAACAGATGTGGATATCATGAAAAATCATGAGAATTAAATATTTAGGTTACTTCACTGTGCACGTAATACATCATACTTTGTCACATATAAGTCAACATTCAGAGTTTGGGAATTGAAGTATTAAATCCACATTTCCTATAATGTACGGGGAAATATGGTGCTACTGTAAAGCTTCTTTCAAGACATCGGGAACTGGGTGTTTAGCTTGAAAATCCTGCACTGAAGATTTGAGTACCTGTCGTACAATTTCAGTTTCACTTTCGTTTAAAAGTATTCTAGAAATAAACTAATAGAAAACTCAATAAGAATTATGTGTCGCAGCTGAAAAATCGGTAGAGTTCTTTTTTAGCCAACCCTATTTACAACAGTGATATCTACATAACTAAAAAAACTGTGATAAATCTGATTGTGACATCAATTATTAGAATTCATCTGAACATTTTCCTTGACTATCATTGAAAATGCAATTTATGCTGATTGAGTGAAGTGTTACAGTACACTATGGTTTTTTGAACAATAGCATTCCTTCCTTTGCACTCTCTGCTAGGTCCTTTTTTCTCTTCACGGAAATTTCGAATTTGCAAATGGGTAGACTACGAGAAATAACATTAGAAAATATATTTTTACTTATAAGGTGTTAAAAAAAAAAAAAAATTCAAGTGCTACTACCTCAAATATTCCCAATTTGCAGTAATCTAAAAAATAAACCAGAAATAGTCACTAATATGTTGCACCTCTGGGTGCCAATAAAGATATCGTCCCACAGTCGTCATGATTATTCATAATAAATTAACAAACCATATTTATTCTTTATTCCTTTCTTCACCCACTATTTCAAGTCTTCGTTTTTTCAGCCTAGATGCCGAAGACTCGATCCAAGAAAGTTATTGGGCGCATTTGAAAATATCACAAGTACCAGGTTGATGTTCAATTTTTCATACAGGATTCCATAATTATTGGAGCGAATGATATGATTTCAGATGCTTCATGCATATTGCTTATGATGGACTGTTAGCATTATGGCTAATATGTGTCCAATGGTACCAATGACCTACACCTTGGCTCATCATTTCATTCTTGCCATCTCAACTGTGATATGTTGCTAGAAAGCAATTTCATGTAATACAAAAAATTTAATTTGAATAAAATATGTAAAAAATTTTTAATAAGTAATTGAATTTTCAATTTAAGATTAAAAAGAATGAAATGCATAATACAAATGCTACTCAATTTTTTTTTATGAGAGTATGTTTGTTGAAAATGAATCTAAGAAACAGGGATGACGGAAAAGAAATAGATGTAAATGAAAAGAAACGTGGCGCAAATGTGTCTGTCGCAAATGCTTTAATGCAACAACACCACTAGATCGAATATTTTTTTTTGTAGAATATTTGTGAACCTCATGAGATTCTGAATATTTATGCTATGACATGGACGATATCTTGTGAATCAGTGGCAGTGCAATTTAAATCCTTGATTCCTGCAGTACATAGTTTCATCTGAGTTCGTTTTTGTCATTCTTTATGTTTATCTAAATTATTTAATCATCAAATATGTCACTTTTTGGATTTTTTTTTAGTTCTTTGCTATCGAAAAGAAACAAAGAAATACGATTATCTCAAGTGTAGAACTAATTCAGTTCTATAAAATTTCTTTTGTATTATGAATAATGTCTTCTCAAAACTTCTGTAATATTCCTAGCATCTGCCCAATTAAATTTATTAACCATTTCTATTATTAGAACTTTAATGCTTCTAGTTTTGCTCATTAAATTTGCAAGAAAAATTTCCAAAAGTTTGTACAGAATAAATATATTAGTACGAAAATGAAGTAAACAAAGAAAAGTACATAAGTGTTAAATAAGATTTCTGAAGATTATATGGCAAATCTTTCAGTTTTAACTTTAAGTTTTATATTTTTAAGTTTAGTATTGTTTGCTTTGATGCACATTGTCATTTAGCTTATATTGACTCTTAATATAGAGTCAGGGAAGATATGGCAAGAAGCAGTGTTAATAGCAAGGACGGGAAAACAAGTGATTATTGTTTTTTTTTTTTTTTTTTTAAATTAAAATTTTCCTGAAGCTAAGATTATTCCCATTATTAATATTACACATATGAAAGAGAACAGTTTGCTGCTTTGTTTCATCTAATTATTTATTCCTTTTTCACATCTATTTAATTTTAGTAAGGAGAAAACTTCATAATATTCTTACCATTATTTTCATTTTGTTTTTCTTCCAATAACTTTGCTTCTCGATCAAGATTAAAAACGTCCATTTTTGAGCAATAATTAATTTTTAATGATTATCATATTTAAATCAAAAAAAAAAAATCAAGTCCTGTGATCGCCCCATGTATGGTTCCCTTTTCTTTTTATATTCTAGATTGACAATATTTCTCTCAGAAATTTTTCAAATTTTAGCTTAGAACGAAAAGAAAAATCTGAAAAATGCAATACAATTTAAAAATGAATATCACTGGTGTAAAATCGACTAATTTGTGATTTATTTTTGACCACGGAAAATTTTCGAGAAGGCTTACTTTATAGTCCTTCATGATCATTATCCCCTTCACAAAACAAGTTTGAATTTCTGAGTTTGGAATTTTCGCTACTTCACGAATGGGCGTATTCCGTGGTTAATAATGTTCGCAAGCAGAAATTATGATGATTGTACCTTCATGTAATGCGAAATTTCAGTGATTTGCCAGACTTTGGAAAATTCACGAATATTCTCCGCTCCACACGCAGCACTCAGATCATGAAAAGAGGCGAATTGTGCATCGATATTTTTTTGATTTCTCCTCCCTGCTGCAATTTTCATCTGTAAATGCAAATAATTCGATAATGTTGACTTGATGTACCCCGTGGTTTCATCTTTCACCCTTTCACGGTGCCAAGGTCAATATGGTAAGTGATTGGCACTGGTGCAGTGAACATTGAGTTTCTGTTAATTATTGCAATTGGTTACTAGTAAAGACTTACCGACGCTGGACTTTAATATTCTTTCTAATGAAATGTAAGTGATGCCATCGTAGTGATCAATTTAAAAGCAGAAAGAGTCTTCTAATTAATCAATATTCTCCATTCAATTTTCTAGTTTCAATTGTTCTACCCTATCGTCATGTTGGTAAATTCTGGTTTACTCCTATTCCCGCTACAAACACAGCCGGTAAACTGGGTCACAGCAGGAGGTTTTCTTTTTATTACTAAAT